ATATAATGATCACGATTATAAAAATAGAGAAAAAGAAAAACGAAATTGATGTCCGCGATTCAGCTCGATTAGATTGCGAATAACGGTGACATTGCATAGCAGTGGTGTATGATCCTTCGTAGGTGGTTAAGTAGACGTAAAAAATTCGTACAAAATATGCGCGTATGTATAACGACAGACGTATAATAATAATACGATAGATGATAACAATTCTTGAGGTAAAGATCCTCGAAGTTTTCCATTACAAAAATACAACGCAACACGATACAAGTGGAAGTTGCAATCCCGCCATCGTACTTTGCTCCGGGGTTTTCTTTTTTTTTTTTCTTTTTATATTACTCTCTACTATCGTCTAATTAATAATTGAACAACGAGCGGTAACGATCGTCGCATAATTAATCAATTTCATTCTCTTCTCCGACGAAACGTCCGTGCGATCACATCGACACGGTGGAGGATGGAATCGAGTGTTTCACGTATCATCCATTGTGTAAACCTCTTCTTCTTCTTCTGTTTAGAACAATATCAATTCCCTCTATCGTTCTAATCTCTACCTATAATAGTTTTGCTTTTAGATGCTCTTTTTCATGCTCTACTGACTCGACTCTACGTTCAAACAGCGCGAACATCTATTTTACGAGAGAGTCAACTAACGTCGAACACCACGGTCATATATATATATATATATCTATATTTCTTCGGTGAAACGACGGCTCAAGCTGTATTCATTCTTCGCGATGAATCGCGCTTTTATGGGTTTCCTTTTTCCTCGTTTCTTTTCTTTTCTTCTCTTTTCTTTTTTCTTTTTCATCGATTCTTGTCAGGCCTCGAACACGAGAAACCGTTATCCAAGCATCTTGGAGGACGCGTGAGACGAATAAATACGATTTACACGATGTTGGCCTTCGCTATGGAGTTGCCCATCATGACCTTATTCACGAAATTCACTATGGCCGTGGCTGGTTGTTCCGGTTCCAGCTCGGCGAACACGTGACACTGGTTGTCCGATTTGTGCGCCGGTTTCCTGGCAACGAATCCGAAACAACGACTGGAACGAAGAAATATCGAATACGATCGATTGTAGAAGTTATTTTCTGCTTCGCAGATGTTAAACTTTAAAAACTTAAATAATAATTTCCAAATATATACACATATACATATATATAAAGAAAGAACACGTACTGGGCGCTGACTGGTCGCCCGGTCTCCTCACTGGCGAAGTCCCAGGTGCGCTCCTCCGTGTCCAAACCGCAATAACTGATATTATTCGTGGGATAATGCCTACGGAAGAACAGCTTCCTCGCGTTATCCGTCAGCGTGATCCCTTGGGTGGAAACTTTGAAATGGACTATAGTCGCGGTGGGCAATGGTTTTTGCTCGAACATCGTCGTCACCGCCTTCTTGATGGCTTGAGGCCCCGTCAACGATTCCATGTCCATGGTGAAGAGGTACAAAACATTGCAGGCTGGAGAGAAAAAATGGAAATTCGATAATTTAAGATCGAACGATCAATCTTATATATCCTTTCGATCGATACCTGCACCCTGGGCGAGCAGTTGCTGAGTGCTGTTCGTCCCCGGTGAATCAAGGGCTCTGGCCGCGGCTTCCGGTTCTGGGAGCAAGAGCGGGCAAGGTAGGGCCATCGCCATCAAGCTGTGCTGGTAAACCAACGCCGACAGCGAGCTGAAAACCGGCTCGTTGGCGCATCCCTTTAATCTCACGCCTCTCGAGGTGGGCTCGATTAAAAAGTGCCTGACCAGCTCGCTGGACGGGTCTCTGGGACTGCTGGGCGCGCCTGGAGGTGGGGTCGCCACCTTCAGGGCGAGTCCAAAAGCCCCTGGGAAGGAGTTGCTGTCCCGAACGACGAACGTCCCTGGCGCTGCGTCCTTCAGCATCGAGATCGCTGAGAAGAGAATTGAACAAAATCGATTAATATCGTTCCAACTTAGAAACGATATTTCTTCCTTTTCTTTCTTGCGCAATACCTTGTTCCCGAGATATGTTGGGTTTGTACCAGATTCGGCTCGTGTCGCGCACGAATTTCACGTTCACATCGGCCACTTCTTGAGGCTCGGTGTTCGAGTGTACACTGGACCGTCTTGAACCGTAATACTGCACCTGAGGAGACGACTGGCCACCGCTGTTTATGGAAGTATACGACGTGGCACTCTAGAAAAGAAGAAAGAAAAGGAAAGAGAAGATTTAACGACGAGAATAAGGTAGACGGACGAAGAATGATCGAATAGTTTTAAAACGTTTTTAGTTCGTTACCTTAGGACTTTGGGCGAATTCGATATGGGTCGGAGTGCCAGGGCTGCGCGAGACAGCTTGCGACTGTTGCATCGTTGGCTCGTTTATCGGAGAAACAGATCGGTCCTTGCTACAAGGAAGCAATCACACAGCATCGTTACAAAGTGCATTTTCGAGAAGGTTCGTTTTCCGCGTGCAGGCAGACGCGTGTTCTCTGTGTGATCTCTGTTTGTGTGTACACGTGTGTATGTGTGTGTTTTCGTGCGTGTTGTCAAGTGATTCGTGCAAGATGGCGTGGAACGCCGTGAGAAAACACTGGAAATGTGGTACATACAAGAGCGAGGGGGGAAAAAAATGGAAGGACAGGGAGAAGGAATACATCGATTAAGGAAGTACAGCCAGAGAGAGAGAGAGAAGAGACACGATTGCACGAATATATCGTCGTAATTTACAGCCTTTTTTTCCTTTTTTTTTTTTTTCTCAATCTAAGAACGACAATTCACACACACGTCTATGTACAGATACGATTACCAAGAAAACAGTTGTCGTTAAATAAATGATAGTGCACGTTATTATTATATTATGTTAATCAACGATATCACGCGAATGTTTCCTTCTTTCTATATTATATTATTATTATTATTTATTAATAAAAAGCCTCTCGATGATAATTATTACGCGAGTTTCCTTGTGATTTTATTATTATTATTATTTTTTTTTTTTTTAACTTTTGATATGCGATACTTGTACATTCTGGTTGGATGACAATAATGCTTTCACGATGCAACAAGCTCGAGCTTTTGTTAGTCCGACAGGTGCAAATATAGACACACACTCACACACGAACAGTACGCGTGTTTCTTAGGTGCTCTTCAATTTTTTTTTTTTTTCATCACGATGCTGATCCGCAAAAAACGCATCTCTGCAACCGTATCGATCAATTTCCATTTCAATTACGCCATGCCCTATGATATATTTTCAAATATTCCAATTAATTTTACATTATCGATATATTCCCATATATTCACGATGTCGGATTCCTTACTTCACGATGCGGTTGCAGCTGGTTGCAGCAGTATGTATACACCGATAGTTAGTGGCACGACATTAAACATTCACGGCGCATCCCGTCGTTCAGAAACGCGGATCCATCATTTTACACGCGTATTCTCTGTGCTCTGAAATAATATATTACCTATAGTCGAACGACGCCGATTGGTTAGTGAGCGGCCATCGTTTGTTATGCGTTTGTTTAAGTGGCCCGCTTGCCGGGAAACTCAAGCGTCTAGAATCACGAATATCACGTTCTGTGTCATAATCCACAATTGCTCCACCAGCAATGTTCGATGGAGGATAAATAAATTGCTCCATCGAGTAATTTTTGCCTCGTTTTATTTAAAAAATAATTTATAAATAAAAAAGGGAGAAAGAAAAAGGAAAGAAAATCATCCTGTTTTATCAAAAATTGAATCAATCAAAATTATCTCTTAATTCTTGATTATTATCCCGATAATTCTATCGAACGTTATTGAATCGATTGAACGAATGAACGAAAGAAAGAAAGAAAAAAAAGAGAGAAAAGGTACAATTAATCGCGAATTATTTTTTTGCTTTTTTTATCATTTTTTTTTTCATCGAGTAATTTTAACGAATATTAACGAAAATTAATAAAAGATTAATAACGAGAGAGGTAAAGATAGTGACCCACCTCTGTGTTGTCGGACTCTTGGGTGGAAGCCCCGTCTCTTTCGAGACTTCTCTTCGTTCTTCGATGTAGATCGTTCGTTCGCTCGCGTAATTTCCGACGTTGTTGTTGTTGTTCCCGGCTGCCTCGACGTTATTTAAATTATTGTTGTTGTTGTTCACGTTGTAAGTGGCGTTCGTGCCGTAAGAGCGATCAGCCGCGAACGTGACCGTGGGCGAGGAGTTGTTCACGTACGGGGTCCGAGGATGGACCGGAAATGCCGGGGTTTGAGGCCTCGATGCGTTGCTCACCACCGCACTTCCGGGACTTATGCTTCTCTCGGTCCACGATGAAGCGGAGTCATTGTGCGACTGCAAGTTTTCCTCCCATTTTTAACCATGCTTTTTCTACCAATTTACGAGTACGCTTCTTCTCGTTTCAAAAAGATGCGGTATTATACAAGTATTATTAAGTCGTTCCAGTGCTTCAAGCGGTGAGGTTTCAAGCCATTTTCGAAAATGTACGAAACTAAGATCCACGGTGAAATATAACGCGATGGATGGAATGATCGAAGAGAAATTTTCTTCGTATATTCGTCTCACAATCCTTCTCGCGAATTTTAAAACATGAATTTATCGACAAGTTTGACGATTAGATTATATTCATCTAGAAGAAGAAAAATCTATCGAGAAAACAAAGTGGAAATGTTTCGAAAATGCAAGTCCGTTAAAAATGGTAATAAACGAGGAAACGATGAAAATCTCTCTCCTCGTGCGCGAAGAGCGAAAACTACTACTACTACTACTACTGCTACTAGAATGAGGATCGCCGAGCGAGACAGGAGAACACAGGAAGACAAACCTGCGTGCAATTCTGCCATGCTTTGGGTGATTGGTTAGGGGAGCAATTAGTGATGGCGTTAACAACGTTGCTGCTCGCAGTGGTGGTGGTTGCTGCGCCGATGCTCGACGCGTGATGATGATCGTTCGTGTCTGTCTTGTTGTTGTTGTTGTTAGTCACCGATTGGGATGATCGAATGGGCGAAATTTCGGCCAATGATTGAATGAGGCTCACGAGAGGGTCCGGATTGTTGCGCGCGCTCGACGATTGTTGATCGACCATCGTCAACAATCCTCCGTCCACGTGGTCGGTGGTGGTGGTGGTGGTGGTCCTTTCAACGTTCCCGGCCAACGTGGTCGTGCTCGAGCACACGATTCGATTTCTCGATTCCGGCCGAGAAACGTGGTTACGAGACACGGCGAAATCTTGGCCAACCGGTTGTTTCTGTTGCTCCGTGATCGCGTTGCCCGCGGCCAGCTGCTGCTGCTGCTGCTGCTGCCTGTTGTGCTCGCGCAACAAAGCGTCAGCGCGAGCGAAGCTGTCGCTACGCGACTCTGGCCGTGGTGGTTGAGGCTTGTCCGTGTTAATGAACGGTGTTTGTAGCTGCACTGCTAATCCTAAGGGTCGCGTGCTTGCTAAGCCTGAGCGGGGGGATGTCGGAGGGCTCTGAAAAGCAAGCCAAGCGCTTCATGCTAGAGGGAGACGGGGGCGTTTTAATCCTTTCCTGCCACCGAGTGTTTACACGGCCTGATTCCCTATTAGCGATCCGATCACCGCGATCCTCCATTAGCGTACCGGTTAATCGCATTAATTTCCAACCTATCCGCCTCCTATTCAATTTTAACGCCGTTTTACCCGATCGCGAGGAGGAGATCGGGATAGAAAGAAACGATTGTCGGATCGATTGGCGATAAATTTCGTACGTGTATATATGTATGTACGCGATTGAGGATCGAGGAGGAAAGTTTCTTTGTCGAAAGAAAGAAATTTCGTGAAATTAGCTTGGATTCTAATAGCGCGTCAATCGCAACGCCTCGCTCGTAATATAACAGGCGGGAAAAAGTGGGCAGAAGAAAGGGTTAAATTATAGACAGTCATAGGCATCCACTAAAAGGAAAGCGATCTTTTCTTTTTTCTTTCTTTCCTCTCTTGCGAATTCTACGGTGTAAAGGGAGTTTCTTGCTGTTCTAAGGATCTAACTGTGGGGCGTATATATATATATATATAACCATAAAACACGGGACCGCGGTGGGAGCTGGTTTTACAATCGCGATCTACGAGGGGCTAAATTGTAGCGTTCGTGCTGCCGCCGTTTCATTCGCGCAAAGGTAGTAGAATCGATCGTGCCGCCGTTTCGGATTTATTATCCTTATTACCGATAATTATTTTAAGTAGTTCATCGCTCCCGGCTGAAATGCCTCCCGCTCTAATAACACCACGTTTCTTTTTCTTTTCTTTTTTTTTTTTACCCTTCTTCATCTTTCTTTTCCCGCGGTTCGATAAATATTTATTTCGCGTAATCGAACGGCGTCGATCCTCTATCGTATAAAACGCGATAAACATTTTATTATCCTCGTTGAACACGATCGATCCTCCACTGCCCCCGCATACGCGTGCTGCCGGGGCAAACTACTTTTTTCTTCTTCCCCCCCTCCCCAACTATTTGCTCTCCGACTTGTGCGCGTACAGATATATATGTATACTCTTCCTCGGTTTACCTGGTTGTCGCTGTATTTGCGATATTCGTATGCCCGTTTCACGGACATGAAGGGACGCTCGTTCACGCTCTCGGCCCGTGGCCGTCCTAGGGTACCGGTTCCGCTGGTACCGTTGTACTTCCGGCTGCTCGACCGTTGCGGAAGCAGCGGGCTCGCAGGCGCGGATGTGTAAAGCGCCGCCCTCGATTGCGACTGGAAAATTAAAATTGAAAAGTAAGTTACGAGGTTAGTTCGTTGGCGCGAATATTAAAAAAAAATGAACAATTGAGCGAGAGAAAAATTGTGAACGAAGAGACGTATTATTATTATTATTATTATTATTATTATTATTTTGTCGAAACTGTTGTTGGAAGGATCAATTTTGCGATTCAATTTGGATCGAAATTTTTGCGGGCGAATTCAAGCGCTTGTTTCAACGATTTCTTTTCTTCTTTTTACCTGTCCGGATGTGGAATTGACAACCCACGTGTCCTCGTCGTCGTCGAGAACCGCAGAATCGCTGGCGTACCCGTCGTGCCTCATCCTCCCCCTCTGCAAGCTTCTCAGCTCGCCGATCACGCGATTTCCGGTTTCTTGTCGCCAAAGTTTCCCCGGGTTCCTTTCGTCCCTCCTCGCCGCAAGTTTCAACTGCTGTTGCCTCAGCCATGATAATCTGAGAAGAGAGGAACAAGCTGAAACTTTCGCATCCCGAGCCGAAAAACTTTCTTAATCCACCGCGTTACGTGGCTTCTAATAATTCCCCCTCCCCTCCCCCCCACACACGCGCGCGCGCACGCACCTAACCTAACTCGTTCTCGAAAATCATAAAAAAGTGATAGTCGTAACTCGAACTAACGCGAAAATCCCGAGAAACGGAATCGAGGAAGCGGGAAGTCTCTCTTTCCCTTTACAAAGGAAACGAAAAGAAAGGCGAACGTTACACCGCGGATCCTTTGTCACCTGTCACGGATTAGAATCTCGCCACTTCGCCGCGAACCAGCTGTTTTCATCCTGTTAAATCGTGATTTCTCGCTTTCCTCGCCGGAGCTCGAGGAGGAGAGGTTAGCGACTCGAGTTACTCGCGAGGGCGAAAACACGAGAAGCTACTTTCTCGAAGGGAACACGAGAAGACCGAGGACGGGGCACGGAACCGTGTAACAAAGCCTCGTTAGAACGGGGCCACGTCACGGTTCCAGGGTCGGAAGAGGGCCACAGGAATTATCCAGGACCTCCTACCAAGATAGATCCTGGATAATTGCATCCTGATCGATGGGGTCGCTCCGGGCCATCGATTTCCGTTTGTGTTTCGCTCGCTCCCCCTCCTCTCGTAATAAATCCACCGCCTCCTCCCCCTTAGCCGATTTTTATCTTTCCTCCTTTAACGAAATTCGTTCCCGTTTCGTCGTGGAACAGCGGCCACACCCACCCTTCGCGATCGAGAACTAATCGTGAGCTAATCGTCGTGTCGGAAGCGGAGCACGTTGAATGAATGGGAAATGGAATGGAACGATATTCTCTTTCTATCATCGGCTCTCTCTTTTTCTCGAAAGATAAATTAATAAATCGGCTCTCGTTCTATATTTGCCTCGGTTATCGTCGCGGTGAATAAATAAATATTCCAACGTTTACGCGGGATCGAAAGGATTTCGAAAAGGGGTATAAATCCGGCCAAATGAAATATCCTCGCGCTGTGTACAGACGGATGCATCGAGTCCGGATGAGAGGTTAATTTGCCGGGAGATCAAACGGTGATGTAAATTTCACGCGGGTGAAAGAGAGAACGTAAATAAAGGATTTCTCGACGCCGGTGGAAAATCAACCCCCCTTTCACGGAGGCAGGGGAGGGGTGTTCTCAACGAGCTTTGAAAGATCAACGGATCTGTTCCGTGCGCGAAACTGGAACGTTTAAGACGAACGTTCGAGATTTCTCCGAAACTTGAAATTGGAGAAATTATATTCTATAATCTCCATGCTTGAATATCAACATCTTAACTGTCTTCCAACATCTGATTGCCGATCTCTTTGCTTCATACATGTATATATATATTCGTTGATTTCTTAATTTTTATATCTCTCGGCACTCAATAACTCGGGCATCGAAAATAATTAAAATTTTCGAAAATTTTTTTAAATACACGCGGTTCGATTGGATTTCGAAAATATTCGAAATGGAAAAAACGAATCGTTCGCATTTTTCTGCGCGCGTATGTGTGTGTGTGTGTGTGTGTACGAGAATGACATCAATTAAAGAATCGTTGGCCAAGAAATATCGTAACGTATGCATGATTTCATTTCGTATGCACGCAGGAACGATTCGTAGCGCGTAACAACGTGACGAAACGTTGTTCCTAGCGAAATTAAAAATGTTCTATTCGCGAATTAAAAAAAGGGGGAGGCGAAAGGGAATTTAATGGTAATAGAATTTACGAGGACAAGCGTTCTATTCTCGTTGTCGGTTTGGAAATAAACTGGAATGGATATCCTCGTTCTCTATCTCTGCAAAAGACTCTCGCGTTTCGAATAATAAAACGGTCTCGTTACGTTGGTCCAATTTTCTCTTTTTTTCTTTTCTTTTTTTTTTTCGACACGCGGTCGATATTTTCGGGATCGTTTATGCGATTTCCTAGGTCGGATGTAAAACAGTTTCATTTCGCGTAGCCAATATTTTACGGCGGCGTAACACCGCCGGACACGTAACCTTGTTTAATAGCAATTTCGTAGTCCGCGTTTTGGAAGAGTAACAATAACTATAAATTCTGAAGCAATGAGTGTAAATTCGCGTTAACCTCTGTACAAGGGCTATAAATTTTAACGTCGTGTTCGGAGTGTGTTCGATTACTATTTCTAAGAACTAGCTGCGAATATTACTGCTGTAATATTCAAATTACTTAAGAACTCCTTAAGAACGTGAAGAAAAAAGAAAACGAAGCCGATCGTTTCGAGGCAGCTAATTTTTCATTCCTTTTTTTCCCGTATCGCGCGTCGATACAATGTGCACGGATATCTAACAGATATTTCTATTTTCTATCGAATAAAAATTCCTCGTTAAATAATAAGTTAAAAAAATAAAATGAGTTTTTTTTCGAAATCCTCCTAGCGAGAGAAAATTATCGAGGAAAAGATAAAATATTAAAGATTAACTTGCCTAAACTTGCCTAAAAAATATTCACATATTTCGATCACACTCGTGCGACGAAATCCACGAAACGAAGAACCACCACCGATCGAAATAAAATGAATTTCGGAACGGAGGAAAAATATTCGAGAAGGAACTCGAAGATTCTCTGGTATCTATTTTCGCGGAGAAACGATGATTTATCTCGCCATCGACCACGGAAGAGAATTTTTCACGGACAACGATCCTCCCCCGAAATAATATCGCGGTTAGAGGGAAGATAGATCTCGGCCAGGATAGGTCCGGAAAGGACGTCGGAAACGCGAGCTCGTCGTGGAAAATTGCGCGAAGCCTTTACGAACCGCTTTTGTGCTCCCTTTCTGCTTCGAATGACTTCCGTATCCGAGCGCTCCGCTTCCACGAAGCTCCTCCGGCGATGGAAAAATTGCCAGCGGAAAGAAAATGCAGTTGCAGAAGCGCGGGAAACAAAGAACAAACGAGAAAGTGGAGAAGAAGAAGAAGAAGAAGAAGAAGAAGAAGAAGAAGAAGAAGAAGAAGAAGAAAAAGAAGAAGAAGGAAAAACAAAAGGGGTGAGTCTGGTGGCGGCCGATTTACCGAGTCTCGTCTGTTCTATATTTATAATTATGTCAGAGGGCGGTCGGAGTCCCGCGAATAGGGACTCCATTCTCCCTCTCCCTTTAACGAATCTCAGAATATTTTTATTTTCGTCGTATTTTCGGCGACGTTCCTCGAATACCGTAGACGCGAGTTTCTTAATGGAATCAATCGTCACCGTTCTCTAACCTCTGAAGCTTAGAAAATCCTTAAAAAAATTTACCCACCATCCAATTTTTTATCCTCGAAGATTTCGATTCGTTCGAAACATTGCAAATTTGTGGAGATATAAGCGTTCGTTACGAGTCGACGAAACGATTATTGGGAAAGGATCGCGGCGAATTAAAAAAATTATGCAAGTTATTTCTCCTCTCGGATCCTCTTGCATATAAATCGACGATTTATTTCGAACGAATCGTCATTTACGAAATACCAGAAACGTCCCGACGCGAGAACTGCTCCCGAGTACTTGACAATTTATTTCCACGAACGGGATCAAAGGGAGGAATGCTATCTTGAAATCGGATGAAACGGCATCGATCGAGGTACAGATAGCCTCCGGTACTTGGAACGATTGTTTCACAAGGCGAGGCGGCCGTAGATGGAATTTAAACAGCTACACGCCGGGAGGGGAGGGGAGGAAAAGCAGGATCGAGAGACAAGGAACGAACGGTGAAGCCCCGAAAGGAGAGCTTCTTTGCGGCTGAGAAAGCAGACCTGCCAAACGTCTGTCGACCTCCTCGACCATAAACGTCGCCTGTTTCTCCATCGTAGCGGATCACGGTTCTTCATAAATATCCGGGCGAAACTTGCGGTTTCGCTCGCTCTCCGCCTGCCTCGCACACGTTTATTTTCACGGCACTCGGCCCTCCACCGACTCGATACACAAAACGAAACGAGTATTTTACTGGTGACTCCAGTTCGACGAACCCCAGGTAACGTGCAACGGTTTAACAACAAACTCGTTAAGCGTCGAATAAGATTTCGATCAGAGAATCGGATAGTTCGATCGAGTCGAAAAACTTTTTAAAAAAAGAACATGGAACGAAAATCTGTGAGTTTTTAATACCCACGTTGCGTCGAGTAAAATGCCTAGATCAACTCAAATGTATATACTCGATCGAATTCGATCCAAGATCTTAATAATTTTCTGTGCATAGGGTTAAACGCACGAGCGCGTTGTTCCCCGTTCATCAATTCTCCAATCAACGAGAATAGAACAATCTCGCGTCTGAGAATAAAATTCGATTAAAATTCCCCTCCCTCCCCCTTTCTCTCTCTCTCTCCCCCGTCAACTCCGCTCTCCGATACATTTCTAAAACTGGACTCAACGTTCCAGAACGGCGAATCAACGAGGCGACAATGCGGTCGTTGGCTCTCGCCAGTATCCATCCTCCGACCGCGAAACTCGTATTTCATAACGCGATACGACGCGTGTCCGTGCCAGCATCGTCCGCATCCACCGACTTTTCTCTCTCCATTTGCACCGACAATGACTCACGGACGACCGCGTTCGCCATTCCTGGCAGAAATACGACGACCGCACTGCGTCGCAATCGCTTTCCGCCTATGGGTAGACAATTTATTAATTGTACGTCCTTTATCCTCCTGTCCTTTCCACCGTCTCTCTCTCTCTCTCTCTCTCCCTCTTTCTCGTTTCGATCGAGTCCTTTTGCGGCGCCCTATTCGGAGGAAGGGAGTTGCGACACGTCGTCCACTGGAACCTCTGCCGGTGGAGTGGCCCAGTTCGCGCGACTTCACTTCATTCCGCCTTCGATCCCGAGCGGAAAATCTCCTCGTCGTTTCACAATGTACGTCGTGACGAAACGGGCCTCATCCCTCAAAGTATTATTAGACGACGGGACGAGCGCATTTAATTATGGGATTTGTTACACGTAGCTTGTCCGATGTTAAACGTTAGCCGGGAATCGTGCCAGGAAAAGGGACCCCGTAATCGGTTTGTCGAGGGTATATATATATATTTAGAGAGAGAGAGAGAGAGACAGAGAGAAAGAGAGGAGTTGCGCTGATACTCGTTTTGACGAGAATCGTAATTTTTCTTTTCCAAAAGATCCATTTTTGTCTTAAAATATTTCAAAAGATAATAATAGAGTATTTTTTTGAAAAAAAAAATTATTTTTCAACTATGCGCGATGTTTTAAATTCTATCTAAAGAAATAGATACGTTTCTAAATCGGTAAGAGTTAAATCAAATTAAAAGAGAAAGGTGTAAAAAGAATGTAATAGATCGCTCACCCGTCCACGTGATCCGAGATGTTTTTAGCGGAACCGTTGGCGAATTCTGGCGGGGGATCGGGCGTGTTCGGGCTCAAAGGGCTGATGGGCCTCCTCGAGTTCTCGCCGAGAATGTCCTCGAAATCGACGACGGGCGCGGTGCCGCGCACGGACGCCTTCCTCACCAAAGAGGGCGAGGAAAGTTTCTGATGTTTGAGCATGTCGGTGGTCGCGCCGTAAGAAAACGGTTGGCTCGTCTGCCTGGCGTGATAAGGTATGTCCTCGTCGATGTAATCGATATTTCCAGGGGGCGAGAACGAGTCACCGTGCTTCCTGTACGTGTCGGTCGAGGATTCCGAGATCTTTCGATCGGGCGACACGCGGTACTCGAATTCGTCCCTTCGATGATCGATTTTAGGCTCGCGATATTCGTTCTTCAGGGTGCTGTAACTGCTGCTCGAGTTGTACGGCGGGCTCGACTCTTTTCCACCACTGTAATTCCTGTACGAATCCTTGAGCGTGGAATAAGTGGAAGGGGAATGGCTGCTCGCGTGGCTGCTGTAGCTGCGAGTCTCTTGAATGTACATCTTCTCGCTCCTGTCCGTTCTGTAGTCGTCTGTCGGAGGATCTGGCATCGACTGAAAATAAGACAACATCTTGCTGTTTCCCTCTTACTAGAAAGAAATATTACTAGAAAGAAATTTTTCTCGAGTAAGAAATAATCTGTTGTTACGTTGGAAAAGATTGGAAGAGATTCGTTACCTCGACGGTGAGCATCATATCGTGGAGCAGCTTATCGAGATCACCGTGAGCCTGGTTGTCCGGCTCCGGCTCGGGTGGGCTAGGTCGTTGTGGCGGGGCGCTGCTGATTCCGCTGTCCATGGAAACTGTCAATGGCGAGCCACGGGCACCACCGGCAGCACCCTGGTGTACCACAGCGTACAGAGATCCATCTATGGGACCGCAGGTGTAACCCAATCCGCGAGGCGACGTCTGAACGGAGGAGCTCGAAGGTGGTGGCGGTGATAATGGCGTTTCCCGTCCTTCTGAACAAAAATTTCCATCCGATCGGATCAAATTTCTCGACGCGACACACGCGCGTTTCGTCTCCAACGAAACGAACCGATCCTCCCAACGGATACCTCGGAATAAAACAGCTCTCGAGAGCTTTTATACCTCCGACCGAACAGGATCGAGTCTAATTTCTAATTATCGAAGCGTGCGTTATTAATACCGTTTCTAATAATTTAACGTCCCTTCTCGCGAGTAATTCGAAACAATCGACTGTAAATCGACTGACCGATCAAACTGGCAGAGATTAATCCTCTTTCCTTCTTCCCGAAGAATCGTCGGGCCAATTTAACGCCGATCCCTCGGAATAATTCTCGCCTCGATTCCCGTAACGCACCCTTTCTCAGAGAAAGTACAGGGATGCCGAGACCATCCACTCCACTCCCTTCCAGCATCGAAATTCGCGTGAGAAGAGAACGATCGCGTGCGAGCTTTCATCCTCGAGGATTCGCAGAAATCCTCGTCACGTAAAGCGACAGGGACGCGGATCTTAAGGGACTCCTGCGCGGCGTTCGTGATCGAAATTCCAACGAGACTTCAAAGAAAAGAGCATCCTTTTCGTCACTGTCATCGTCGCTTTCGTCGCAACCTCTTCCCGTGGGAATAGTTTGAGCGTAATCGAGGAAGGATCCTCGTGTTTCATTCTCTCTTTTTCTACAACCTCGAGCGAATCGGAACGGGGAACACGTTGCTTCGAGAGAGAGAGAGAGAGAGAGAGAGAGAGAGAGAGAGAGAGAGAGAGAGAGAGAGAGAGAGAGAGAGAGTACGTACGTACGTACGTACGTACGTACGTA